GGAAAGTTTCTCTCTGACTGAGTTGACTACTTCACGAGGGAGCGTTTGCGTCAATCATGTGCTGAGTTTAATATTTTTCATCTCGTAATCATGTCTTCAAGTGATTGGTTCACCGGCGAAGTTTGTGGTCATTCCTTTTACAGGCTTTTAGCAGCGGAAACCAGTGGCAACAATCAAGTTTTACAAGCGAGTCAATGATTAAAGGTATTCGATTGAGGAAGTGCGATTTTTATATGTTTCAGGACCTGTTCGTTGCCACTTTCAGATATAAACATCCCCTAATATTATCTTCAAATGTGTAGGTTGTCCTTGAGCCATTTATCGCGAGGAAACATGCAATTTGAAATCTAAGATTCCAGCGTTAGTGACTGAGTTTGCCACGTTTGCGTTGCTGGAAACTTGCGGAAAGCTCTTCTTGGCCAACTCGAGGTTACTTCTTCTTCTGAAGTCCATTCAATTAGGGATGTATCTAATTTCGTTAAACTTTCCAAATTGAAAGTTCGTTAAAAGTGTGCGTTAAAAAAATGTGCTCTTTCAATTTTTTTGATTTGCATTGTCTGTGCCTTCGTTGCATTGCATGTTTCACAAATGTGAAGTGTTATAAGCGAGATGGTACCTAAAAACGTGATACCATGGATTGTGTACGTTTTCTGTCAACTTGTCCGAATAACTGACGGATTAGCCGTCGTATGTGAAACACTTTAACTCTAGGAATGTGGAATTTCGTTCGATTGAAATGCTTAGTACATTACGGAATCGCGCCCGTTGAAAAACGGGAAAATGCAAATTAGCTATTTTAGGCTGTATTGTTTTCAAATTGGTCAGATGTAAAATTAAATTACCTTTAAAATGTCGGGTTTTTAATTTGTGTTAAGACTAAAATGCAGCAGATTAACAAGGTTCGACCATCAATTTCACCATGAAAGCAATATAACATGATTGCTTGCGATTTCATCACTTTCAAACAATAGTGATTGCTCCAATTGTATTTCCATTGTCTCTAAACGGACGCAATGCGAAAATTTACAACTCCCAATTGGGAATAGTCTGTCAATTCAGATCTTAAAAGACCAAAGCTGGCGGTGAGCTTTTGCAACCTCATTCCCAGGTCATTGTGCCCGCAAAGCATCATAGGTACCCCGCTTTCCCCGAGCGACGCTTTTCAATGAATCCATGTATAAGAAATGTGTTTCAAATTTAAATTTGCATCTCATTTTAAACATATTGTGAGCCATATCCTCCTCCCCCCCCCCATGAAGGTGAAATGGAAACAATGAAACCCACCTTCATTTCCCTCCTGTTCCCTTGCTTCTGTTTCACCTTCGAAGGTTTTGCTCAGTGTTTCTTTTAGGTGATAAATCTCTGACTTACACTAACAAACATAATTCTTAGATTCTTTCAAACCAAAGTATCTCAAATCAAACATCTTGTCAAAAATTGTAATTAGATCCCTTTACAGGAATGAAAGACCCAGCCTTGTTTCTAGGGTCCTTTCTCTCTTCCTGTGTTAACCCTTGAACCCCTAAGAGTGACTAACATCTAAATTCTCCTTACAATATCACCCCTGAATCACACATTAAGGTCATGAGTTTTAGAATGCTATTATGCCATTGGGTTGGTTGGTATAAAGCAGATTCCCAGTTTCTTGTTGAGCCAAAACAGGCCAAAAAGGGTTTTTTTTCTCTCCTGGAGAGCTGGGGAATTTGAATCTTGTCTGGGTGGGTTGAGGAATTTGAACTAGAACCATTAAGTCTTTCCAGCAAAGTAGACATGTTTTTTTAATTAATATGGAAGTGTTTAACAATATGAAGTTTTCAAATGCTCGGGGGTCGTCAGGAGGGTGGAAGGGATGTTGAAACTTCAAATTGATCGATGCATTACTGACTTTGCTGCAGTTCAAAATGATGGACAAGCATGAGATAGATAGGTAGATAGATAGATAGATAGATGACCTCTATTTATAAATGATAATATTTTAAGCTACAATCTTGTGGGGTTGTGTGAAGAGAAAAGGAAAACTACATGTTACAGGAAGATAATTTGAATTTGAAAATAGAAAAAGATATATATCGTAACTTCTTAGAATAGGCAAAATTAGTATGCATAATGTGAACATAAGAAGCAGAAAGTGTTTTTTCAGATTCAGATCGAGACTTGAATGTCCAACTTCTTATTCATAGTAGCAAACAGTGTTCCTTACCACAGCACTGCAATATTTAGGCAAGTCTTTCATGTATCTTGTTTGGAACCAGAGTACTATTAGAAAGGTCACGTCCCCTCAGAGAGTAACCATTTGAATAACAGTTAAGGGCATCACAGCTTTTGTGAGAAACAGGCCAAGGAATATTCAGTTTGTTTTTCTGTCATAAATGTGGAAGAGAATTGGATAATAAGGAATAATGACACACTAAAGAGAGGTAGATAATTCAGCAGATGAGAAATTTGGAGTCTTACTAATATGCGAGCCAGCGAGTCATGCGAGTCATGATGCGAGCCATGCGAGTCATGCGAGCCACGGTTTTAACGTAAGAAAAAACATGCGAGCCATGTGAGCCACAATTTAAACGTAAGAAAAAATTACATAACGCTGTATATTAAATGATACATGACGTGAGTGACACTAGCGACATGTAGCGACGGTTTTAATTTCATAGATGATTCTAAAACGTGATGTAACTGTATTTATCTCGTGCTATTTATTTGTTTAATTATTTATTTTAAGATCTGTTATATTATGTTTTGAAAGGAGAGAAAATGTCGAAGAAAAATACCTTCTAAGATGCGTCTTGGTAGTAAAACGATTTATCAATGTTCAGATAACATCAGTACTGTATAGATTACATAACACTATCGAAGTCACGCATTCTTTGTAGTCTTTAGAGACAGAGATGTTTTTGTTGTTGTTGTTTTTTGATATATTTTTATTTTTCATTTTTCATGGCTCGCACCCTGGCTCGCATGGCTCGCAACCTGGCTCGCATGACTCGCATGGCTCGCACAGTGACTCGCATGACTCGCTGGCTCGCACATTAGGCAGACCCAGAAATTTGCCATAGAGCATTGCTTCAAAAGAGGATTTTGACCATCATCTGTGTTTTGGTATAATATCATGGCATTTAATTCTATCAAAGTGAATACTTTGAAAAGAAGGCTCAGTCAGTGTTGTTTCATGAACAAATTTCTTAACCAAACACTTTTAAAGAATAACAGTACAACTCGGCATATTACTTTTTCTTCATTATTTATGCAGACCATTTACAGTGTAATATGGCTCAAAGTTTAAAAAAAATTGGCTGTTGTATATTAAAGAATAGAAGAAAGACAAAACCTCAATAATTCATGTTATCAAAAATTTGAGAAAGAAGGTAGTGATTTAAATTCTGCTCTCCCTTTAGTTGAATTTTTCAAAGCAAAGCAAGGTCAGAATGTTCCCGAATGTGACTAAAGTAGTCTTGAAACCATGCTGATAGATTTATTTCATTGTAAAGTGTAAGCGTAGGAAACTGCAGCAAGTGATCAATTTGATTCTCAGAATTATTCGAGTTTCAGTTGCGCCGAGCGTTATGTGAGCTTAATTCACGCGGTTATATCTATTCTTTGGTAAGATTTTGATCACGTAACGAATATCGCAATTTGTACCCACCACAAACTTTCAAAATCCTAGCATTATAAATGGCCACTCGATCATTGTTTGAACCAGTCCATATGTCAACTGTTAATTGTCCCTTCTTTTAATTCCACAGCACCAACGACTTTCTTTTCATTTACAACACTCACGCTGTTCTCGTTTTCCCATTGAACCACAATAAAACTCATCTTTAGAAGTGTTATATTAAGCAAAACAGTTGAGAAAAGAAACAACTTGAAGCAAGAGCAGTTAACCGATGAAAAGTACATTCAAAGATGAGCGCCAGTTTTCTTTCTTTCCAATCACAGGCATGATCATGTGGATCTTTTAGCAAAGAGAATCTGCTGACTTGACCGATTGCAGTCTCAAGAGAAGCGCGCAAAATTATTCTATCTTTTCTGACCGGTTCTCTTCTCTTGGATGGTGGATACCTTGGATCCATGTTTTGATGATGATATAAATAATTATGTGAATTCACTCTATGTAGAAATAATCGACAAGAATCGAACAAGAATGCATGATTTGTGGCCAAAAGTTTTCGAGGAAAGAAAGACTCAAAACCCACTTGAGTTATGTTCACAGCAAAGGTGAGAAACAACACAAGCCAATCACATTAGGAAGTATGAGAGATACCAAGATGATCCCCATGTACCAGTACCCAAATCAACAAGGCTTGACCTTAACAAGCGTTCAGCAACACGTTCCAACACAGCTAGCCATCTCGATTCCTCGGTTGGTCTTTCCACTTTCCCATGGTATGGGAATTAACAACTTTCAATCTAACATGGTGTGACAAAACAAAATCTGTGGTTATTCACTAGCTTATGGTTGCGATGTGTTTCCAAAATTGGAGATTTCATCACAATTCTCAGAATAAAAGGCTAAAAAAATGTATTTGTGTTTTCATTTCTTGGAAAGTGTAAGTAGGCAGCTACTGTAGAGCTCTTTCCTGAGTTCAATCCATGATAAGATAGCACTTTGTTTTTCATTATCACATTGTTACTTACTAGGAAATGGATGTGTCAGAAATGTCATCTAAAGGAAATACTCCATGAACAGCAAACACAGTTAGACCATACAGGATCTTATCTCTATTTGCTGCAAGATTTGTCCTTGGAAACAAAACTTCTAATTTTGAGAACAGGCTGTTTTCCAATTGTCACATTTTACAAGTAGGAAATTTAAACAATGATCTTAAATATATGAGAAAGTGAAGGCTTCCCAAAAAGGTCAAGTTAGCCTCTGGTACTGCCTGAAGTGGTCTCAACAACACTCTAAGAGGAAATGGAAAGCTTATTAAATAGACTCATTGAACTCACATTTTGTATTGTTTTTTTCCAGCATAATTTTTCAAAATTAAAAGCTTCCTGTGATGTCAAGGCCACAAAAGGTAGTAAGAGGAATCTAAATCAATTACAAATACCAACCTTTGATTTTGAAAAAACATTCATCCCTTAATTTTTTCACCTAAATGTCTGCGATGAAACTACACATACCAATTTCAAAGTGAGTTGAAGAGGAAGACCCTTAAAGGAGAATTTTCACTTTCCTTGTAACTGTAATGGTTGTTATCAGTGACAGTGATAGTGTAGATCTCTAAAGCAACTTTACATTTTCCTGGTTTAAATTTGTCTCAATCTACATGTATCTGACTTTTTGGCATAGGATAAAACTTATCAAATTCATAAGAATTGACATCACATATTAAGTGGACATCCATTATTTTGATTAATTATTGTTTTAAAGTTTATTGTCAATACCTTTCTTGTTTTGTTGTGGTAGGATTCCACCATTCCTAGTGTAGCCTCTACATCACAGGAAGATCATGAAATTAGGAGACTGAAAGTCACTTTGCTAAGTAACGAGTGGGGATCATCAACTGATGAGGACTTGTCAACTTTCAACCAAGAGCTGGCCATCCAGTTAGCTAAGCACCCCGATGTGGATGTTAGTATCTTGCTTCCAAATTGCAGTGGAGAGGACAGGAGCAGTGCTGAAAGTCACAATGTGAAGCTCATTGAAGCAGATAAAGTTCCTGGTGTAGAGCCAGTTCTTTGGTTGTCATCTCCACCTAGAAACCATATAATGGACTGTATCATTGGTCATGGAGTTCCCTTTGGCAGACTAATTCCACTCATCACAAAAAATCTAGAGTACAGTCATTGCAAATGGATTCAAGTTGTTCACTCTGCTCCTGAAGAAGAAGGAATACACAAAAACATTTCAGAAGGTGAGAAAATGCAAGAAGAAGAAATCCAACTCTGTGAAATGGCTGATCAAGTTATCACAATTGGACCCAAGTTGGCAGAAGCTTACAAGCGTTACCTTTGTCCATTTAAACAAGAAGAAAAAGTTTTTGACCTTACTCCAAGTGTTTTCTCCAAATTTTTGGAAGTAGAGCAAGCCACTGAAGAAAGAAGAACATTCTGTATTCTTTTAATTGGAAGTGGTGACAGCTGTGAAGATTTCAATGTCAAAGGGTATGACATAGCTGCTCAAGCAATTGCTGAGTTGAAAGATAAATCCTACAAACTCAAGTTTGTCTGTGCAGCTGTAACAAAAGGAGAGATTGTAGTAAAAAAGTTCGTCCACCATGGCATTAGTCCTGATCAACTTATTATTCGCAGCTTTGATGATAGCAGAGGAGTGCTGGCTAACTTATTTTGTGAAGGGGATCTTGCAATAATGCCATCCAGGACAGAAGGTTTTGGAATAACAGCTCTGAAAGCGTTATCTGCTCGCCTGCCCATACTTGTCAGTGGTAATTCAGGACTTGGAGAAGCTCTGAAGAAAGTTCCTTTTGGCCAACAGTGTGTGGTAGACTCTGATGATCCTAAAGACTGGGCCAGAGAAATCAAGCGTGTCCGTCAGAAATATAGAGATGTGCGACTTTCAGAGTCAAATACTCTACGTAAAAAGTACATGAAGAAGTATAGCTGGGAGGAGCTTTGTAAGAGTCTTGTGATAAAGATGAAGAAGCTTGTCTTCAGCCTTCAGCCCTTGCAAGGTGAGGCTCAGAACATACCACATTTAAAAATTGGCCTATGAATTGGCTGACATTTTGAGCTTTAGCCCTTTGTCAGAACTTTTAAATAAAGTTTAGGTATCATCTACAACCACTTAATGACTATTTTGCGAAATACATTTTAATATGGTTTAAGAAATAAGAGGAGGCCAAAATCTTCATTGATATACTAATTTGTAATGTTTAAATGTATTTTTATGACATGGAAGAGGTCATGTTAGTCACCGCAGGGTGAAAATAGTTTATTTTGCAAAATAGTAACACTTATAAAATTACTATTTTGCGAAATGAATAAAAATCCTTCTTGTTAATGAATGATTACTCCAAATTCCTTGTGAAAGTTTTCTTTACCTTGTTAGAAAATATATCTGCATTATTCCTTTAGTTTTGTTCTATCTCACCTGATTTCGTTTCGCTTCATTTCGTTTCGTTTTGCAAAATAGTATAAGCCGAATAGACCTCTGTCCTTGTACATGTCCTGTATGTTTTGTTAACCCATTTCAGGTCTTGTGATGTTTACCCCAGAGAACTTTTTCTTTATATTCTCTGGTCCTGTTTTATGAGTATGAATTACTTTTTTGCAGTAGTTGCATTTATGATTTGTAACAACTTTTTTCTTCAAACAAAGAGTTATTTCAAGTAAGAGAAGGAAACTACAGAATCTGATTTGAAAAGTTATAACATGAGGATCTTACTTGATTTAACCAATAACAAATTTCAAATTTATCAAGTCTATGGGAACTTCTTTTACATATTAAGAAATTCAGTATATTCCAATGATATATGTGATTCCTTCACTGCTGCTACTACAATCATGATCTACTTGCCAATGCATGCTGTTGGCAATTGTTGTTAATGATTACTATTTTGGTGCATCTAGGTTGTTCAGAAAATAAGGTAACTATACCAAGGAAGGATAAGAGACTAGCATCTGTCAGTGCAGATCAGTCTTGCAAGCGACGCAGGAAAGAGTTTGCTATTCATGACTACTGTGAAGGTAAATTGTGAGGGCATGAGGTGAAAAATGCAATCCAAAATCCTTCTAGCTCATGAAAACAGAAGTGTCAATACAGGTTGGTGCTTATCAGGCATTTTTGGAGACAAACCCCTTGTTACCCCCTCTGTGTAGATGCATCTTTCTGTTCAGTTAAATGGGACATCAAGTTTATCGAATTACGGTCAAGTCGCCGACAGCTCAACTTGCTAACACCAACTTACTGACGTATAAAATCGAGTAGAGACATCAGCGAGTTGGTCTTCAATCCAGTACAACGTATTAGAAGTTAAAGATATAGAAAAATAAAAGATCTTTAGCAACAAAAAACATTTTTTTTTTCTTCCAACAAAGTTTATATGGATCTCATGGCGAATAAAGCAAGGTAAACATCGCCAATGACTATAAAAGCTTCAGACGCAAACGAGTTATTGTGTGACTACAATACTGTAAAGACTCATCACGTCAATCGGTCAGATTTTTTTAAGAAAACTTGGCCTTCTAGACAAGATCTTTAATAAAAACAATTTTTTTTTCCAACAAAGTTTATAAGGATCTCAAGGCGAATAAAGCAAGGTGAACATCGCCAATGACCAAGAAAAGCTTTAGATGCGAATGAGTTATTGTGTGACAACCATAGCGACCACGCGGATCCACATGATTTCTTAACTTTAAAGACTGATTTATTCATCATCGAGAACGTTTGATTTACGAAAAAAATTTGATACATTATAAAGATCAAGTGAACATGTGAAAGCTAGGTTTATCATGCAGTCATTTTTCTCTTGATGGTCTGTTTAATCTCAACATTGATTTCAATAATCGGGCTGCTTTTTTTTTTTCACCATTCTCATATTTCTCCCCAAAATCCAGACAACTTACTTTGCAATTGCCTATCAGCCCTTCTTTGGGTTCTGGTCAGCTTCTGGTTAGATACTTATGGTATTTTTATGGCCGTTCACCAGCATTGCCTGGTATTAAGATGGACCAAACATAAACACCTTCAAATGTGAGCTACCGAAGCACGAATCCAGAATGATGCTGGTTATGACACAATTATTGTGTGACAACAACACTGAAAGAAAGATAAACATCGCCAATGACCAAAAAAGCTTTAGACGTGAATGATTTATAACTCGTTCATTGTTCGTTATAGTAATTGGCAATGTTTACCTTGCTTAATGCACCATGAGATCCTTATAAACTTTGTAAGAAGAAAAAAAAAAGTTTTTTACTTAAGATCTTTTACTTTTCTATCTGTTTAACTAGTAATAAGTTGTACTGGATTGAAGACAAACTCGCCGATGTCTCTACTCGATTTACATGTCGGCAAGTTGGTGTTGGCAAGTTGAACGGTCGGCAACTTGACTGGATACCAGTTTACCAATCAATTGACATAACCAGTTTTGACCACCAGACTATTTTTGTTGAAAAATTATTGTAGACAGTTGTACAATGGTAAACAAATTGCTTGATTTCTAAGTTGCATTACCTTAATGCAAAATTAGAGTTAACTCCTCTCAACCTTCACAATAACAATTTGAATAATGTAATAAAACTCAGATTCATAAGGAAACATTTTAAAAACGTTTCAGCATGACTCAAGCCATCATAAGTTTAATTGTTTAACATTTGACTTTGTTGTGACAGGTTGTATGCAAATATGTAACAAGTTTCAAACAAATACAATATTTGAAATTAGTACTGTTACAATAGTTAAATTAGGCAATAGCTACTGCACACAAATGTAGTACCTGGAAAGAAAGCTAAACAAACAAAAAAGAATAATTATGTTGCAACTGAATATTAAGTCTGGTTGCAAGCAAATATAAAATGTTTAAATTTTTGACAATAAATTGTTTTGGCTGAGTCTAGTATCTGAAAGCACTCAGTGGAACATTTTTGCTTACAACTTGGAAAAGAACATATGCGTTTTCCATGAAAACAAAAATGTTAATAGGTTGATATTAGGAAAACAAAAATGTTAATAATAATATTATTTTAAAAACCTTTCAAGTGCACTTCAATTCAACTCCATTCCTTCTTACCTAATTAACATAATAATAATAATAATAATAATAATAATAATAATAATAATAATAATAATAATAGTAATCTAGGCATTTTTGGAGACGATCTCCTTGTTTTCCCCTCTGTGTAGATTTATCTTTCTTTTCAGTTAAATAAGACATCAAGTTTACCTATTGGCCCATCCGGTTTTGACTACCAGACTATATTTGTTGAAAAACTCTTGTGGACCGTTACACAACAGTAGACAAATTGTTTGATTACTAATTGCATTACCTAAATACAAGATTAGAGTTAATTCTCAATAATCATTGATTTCTGGCAATTATAGTGAGCTTGCTGTACCAGGTGTTGCTAGTGTAAATCATTAGCTCAAATAGGGCTTAGGTTTTCCCACCAGATCTAAATTTATGTTTGTTTGTCAATCTCTTTGACTGTCACAAGAAAATTACAAGATCATCTGCACACTCTTATTTTTACAATTCACAGTTATGATTAATAAACAAATTCAAACTGATTTAGCACAGACATGAATTTCCACCTGTGGGTAATATTCCTCAAAACAGTTAATAATTACATAGACAATCATTTTATGTGGTCAACTGTTACTCCTGGGTTCAAATTGTTTGCCTTTCTCTTCACTGGAGTGCTCTGTCATATAGTCCTTTTCAGAGTCTCTTGGGAAGGATTCTTTAATCTTGAATTTTTAAATGGCTTTAAAAAAACCACATTATGAAGAAAGACTTTCTCATGCATGGCGAAGCCTTACTCTTGATTCTTTGAAGATTTAAATGTTCTTTTGAATTTTCAAACATACAAGGACTTAACATGTTTTAGGTAAGAGTTGTTTAAAGAAATTTCTTCTTTGGTTTTAGGTAACTGCCTTGCCATCATTTGCCAACTTCTGAAAAATGAGTACAACAGACGATCTCAGTTGAAACCACTTCTCTGGGATAGTACCATTCAATTGCCTTTGGAAGATGTTTACACAAGATTGAAAATTTTTTGCAGAAGAAAACAAGATTTCCAGCTAGGAAACAATGAAGTAAACATGTCTGAAATTTTTAAAGTGGAGATAACATCATTGTGCTTGTAGAAGGGAGCCCTGTTGTAGGCAAGACAACTTTTTGTCTTAAAATTGCCCATGATTGGGCTAATAAGGCAACTTCGAAGGTGGATTCCTTTCCTCAATTTGAAGTAATTTTATTGCTCAAATGCCGCGATATTCATGGGGACATAATAGATGCTATCAGGAAAGAGCTTATTGATTATATTGAAGATTTCCATTACCAAGGAAAAGTTTTAATAATTCTGGATGGTCTTGATGAGTTACCTGAGATGTCAGAAAGTTGTGTGGATAGATTGCTTCAAAAAGAATTTTTCCATTTTGCTATGTAATTTTTGTGCGAAAAAAGGTGAACTTCGATATGCTTTTACAAATTGAAGGCTTTACAAGAGAAGATGCTTTTAATTATATAAGGAAGCATTTTAAGAATACAGGTCCTGAGAATGTGTCAAATGGAGAGAGGCTCATCACAGAAATTCAAACAAACTCTTTCCTTGATGCACTATGGAACAATCCACTGAATTTGTTACTCCTTTGCATTGTGTTTGAGGACCACAAGGGAGAACTGCCATCTTATTGCCCTGAACTTTACCGGATAATTGTTTGTTGCCTTTTATGAAGATATTGTGCCAAGCACAACCTGGAGGTGCCTGCTGATGACAAAGCTCTAACAAGGCACTTTGAAGACAGTTTGCTAGTTCTTGGAGAGTTAGCTTGGAGATGCTGGGAAGAAGATCAATTTTCATTTCGTGAAAAAGAGTTGGTAGAATTTGAATCTACACATGAGAGTCTTGCAGCTCGCAAACTTGGTCTTGTGTTCAAGGAAGCCAGCTTACGGAAGATTAACCCACAGCACGAGTATTTCTTCTTTCACAAGACATTTCAAGAGTATCTGGCTGCATTTTATCTAGCACATATGCTTTTGAAACAAAAGATTTATTTTTCTGAGTTGCATTTGGACTTATATGAGGATCTGACAGAGAGGTACAGACAAGTGTTTATATTGTTTCAGTGAGAGTAGAAATTATGAAAAAGTGGCAATGACTCTTTGTTCCTTTATTCCATTTCCACAGACTGTAACTATTGAGTTATCAGATGAGGAAAGAACAATAGAGTGGTTCATTATTTTGAATGCCTGCACAAAATTTTTAAAAAATCAGACTCTCAGAAATGCATTTTCCTGCACTCTGAGATGCAAATTTTTTATTCTCTCAATCAAAAAGTAATGAAAATGAAATAGGGCAAAAACAATTATTAGACATTGTTATGAAAGTAGTGAAGAACATGGTGTTAAGTGTCAAGTGGCTTTGCCTTGTCTCAAAGTTGACAAGTTGTCGTTTTTGCAGAATTCTGCATTCACAGGTGTGAATTGATACATTCCTCTTATAACTAATACCTTTATAGTATTCACATAGATTAATAAAGTTGTTAATTTCTTCAACAGTTCAAAAAATTTTAACAGTTTGTAAAGTTGTTTCATGCACATAATTGGCAACTGAGTCTAACTGCTTGGTCTATTACATCTTTTGCTTTTGATACAGGGGGCCCATTGATGGAAATTTGTAACAAGGAGTCAAGCATGTCATCTTTCAATGAATTTTGGAAGCCTTCTGTTTATCCGCTTCAGTACACTTGCACCTCTTTCTGGCCAGGCGTTAGTCACAGACAGGCTCTGGGCTACAGCAGACAACTTCACCAGGTTTCGAAACATTACTTTGAGTAATGAAATGCTGCACATCTTGGTTAGCAACCACTCAGGCAGAGTATTCCATGGCTGTGGGAATCCTGTGCAATGAACTTGAAGTGTTCTTACTCAGACTTGAGGGCTTCAACTTCCACCTAATCTGTGGTGCCAAAGTGGTCTGGAAGTGTGGCCATATGGTTCACCCCCTAGCTCTTGAAATCAGTGGCTTCCTTTGCAGGAAGACATTGCAATGAAAGATTGAAATGGCTTGAACAAGTGGCAGGGAAGGGAATCTTGTTGATATGTTCTCTTTCAACCTTGCCATGTAAGTTGTAATTAAACCACATTTCTTGAAAGAAGGAACTTTACACAAGCCCCTTCTCCATGACAAATACTGTTGAGCTCTCCCAAATATAATATATACAAAGCCTGGAAAAAGGAAGAAAAAGGACTGTGGACTGCTTATACTTTTTTTTTCATTAACTTTAGTCAATTTTCTAGGATTGAAAAGCAAGAAAAAATCAACTGATACTTCATTTATTTGATAGCACAGTGGTAATTAGTATCAGAGGAAAAAACTCAGGCTATGTGTGCTAAGCATACTTCACCTTATTTTGCTGATTTGATAAAATAGGAAATACCCAGTCTAATACCCATACCTTTCATGGCCAAGTGGCTGTACAATTCAGTTAGAGGAGAGACTTTGAGAAAGACCTTCCTGTCTTAATTGACTCATCTTTTAGAAAGAAAGGTGTGATAGTTACTGCCATTTATGAATGTCTTGTTACATGCACTCAGGTATCCAGTGAGTGTCATGTGCTTGGTTGAAACTCAGGTTGAAGATACACTTGTATTAATGGTGTTTGATTGTTCTTGCATTGATATTTGTGATATGATTTCTATACTCAAGTTAGGTCACAAACTAAATATCATGTTTCATTTAAGATGGTTAAAAGAGAATTTTAACTGAAGATCCTTTTTATGAAATACATTTTCTATTTCAGTTGTTAATGTTTAGTGCAGATGAATTTTAAATCAGTACATGTAGTCAAGAAAAACAGTAAGAAAAGAAATTTCTCAAGCATTTTACAGCTGTATGTTGAAACTGCAAAGTTTTAAGTTAGATTGACCAAGGCTACATAGTCAAGGGAATTCTTTGTTTCCATATTTGTTTCCATCTTTTCAATGGAACAATGCAAACAGATTTTTAACCTTTTTACTCTGAAGATCTCAATTTTGTATTGATATTGTAAAGAGAAATTGCATTGTGGTCTCTTCTGGGCAATGAGGCTAAACTCTTTGCCAGTAACAAGATTCCAGTCTGTTTCCATACAAAATGTGAATATTTGTATGCTTCCAGAATGAGTACAAATTCCAAATTATTTTGACTTGTTTCAGAGGAGGATTAAATATTGGAAATAAATTATATGCTGACAAAGAATCAGCACCATAAATGTAATATTTTTAATATACACAGAAAGGAAATATAGACCCTGCTTTGAGACCAAGAAGAGGGATTGAATTGAGACTTGTTAAATTTAGTGTAATGAAACTTTCTGTATCATTAATCTTTCCTTGATTGTTTTTCAGTTATGGTGGAATGCTGAATGCTTAAATGAGGTATAAATTTCCAAATGTGATAGATGTTGCCTTGGTAGCCATTGCTCCAATTTACATGACCACTCTCTGTGGAAGTGAAAGAGACTTTTTCTTCACAGCAGTGACAAAGGTAATGGTAAATTTTTTTTTCCTTTTGACATTTCAACTTTTTCAGCCTTTTCTCTTGTTCAGGTTGATAATTAGTTGTCCTCTACATAACATCAGGGAAACAATTAATTCACTAAACATTAAACTCCCATGCCATGAGTGACCAAAACAAAATATCTCCTTACAACATCAAGCAGACAAGTGATGAGACTGAAGTGTCATGTCAATGAGGAGATTATTAGTTGATCTGATACAAAATTCTCCAAAGTAATTTCATAAGAATTGTATAGCATATAGTAAGGAGAATTGATAATGAGATCTGAGAGTTAAAGGTCAGCATTTGTCAATAGTAAAAGATTTGAGGGAGTCACAGTAATTTTTCTCCTTTTTGAGAAACGTAATGGAGGATAATGAAAAAACAAGTTGTTATTTGAATCAGTTCTAGACATTATTGCTCCTATCGGATGATATCTAAAATATCTGTTTGTTTTTAATGATATCAACAAAAGAAAAACCCAACTATAATTGCAAAATTATTGCAACATGGCCAGACTTTTGTTTCTATGTTTATAGTTGATTTTAAAAAATAATTAGGTCAATTAATATAATTTTGTCATTTATTTCCAAGGACTTTTTAAATGCGGATGCCAATTGTCCAGATTATGTTATTACAGCTTTTGAAATGATTGAGATGCTGAAAACTCAAGGTGCAGAAGGTAAAATGAATCATGACCCTCAATTAATCAAATGTACAATGCAAAAACCAGAAAATAGGTTATATCAAATGTGTTATCCTAATATTAAACATTTTTAAAATAATTTAAAAGAAAATGGGTAGGAACTTGAAGGGAGAAATGCTCGTCAAATCTTGAAAATGAAGGGGTTTACATCTTTTGCTGTATTTAAGTTGGAAATTTGGAATGCTGGTATTAGGCAGGGGACTGGGGAACAGGCAATACTCCCCTTGTGAGGGATGAGTGTGCTGCATTATTGCAGGAGGAAATTGCCTCATTACTGTGTCATCCTCTTTTCCTTAACCCTTTTAACCCCTAAGAGTGACCAGATTCTAATTTCTCCTTACAATTATATCACCCTGAATCAAACATTAAGGTCATGGGAATCAAGGAAATGATCACCAACTTATAAAGCTCTTGATTTTTCAACAAATTCTGCTTGTCAGTGCTTCAGGAAATGTATAGAGAACAGTATGGAGAATATTCTTAGTGATATTAGGGTGTAAAGGGTTAGTATTAAGGAGTATATTAAGTAAGTGAATCAGGCTCCTTTTGAATAAGCTGTTTGAGTGAGTGACTGTCATTTATGTGGGTAAATATGACAAGGGGCTGGTTACATCCTACATTATGGCATGTACAAATGAAGGTTCATGATGTTGATGATGTTCCATACTTGGAGATCAATAATTCTCTGTGAGTGAAACTGGTGTGGAGTTTATTTGAAATTCTTTCTTCATTTTATAGGACTTGCTGAGCTCTTAAAAATATTTAAACTCTGCAAACCGCTAAAGCCAACAGAACAGGTAAGGATTATTTGGTCATCACTCAAAAACTATGATAACACTTGTCATAGGAAGCAGGATTTTTTTACACTGTTCAGTAACTATATCTGTTAGCCTATTTACAAGATCAATGCTATAATAATAAAGTATTATTGTTTGTCTCTCAATTTGATCACATATGATGTGGATCAGGATGTTTTGACTGCATAATGTTAGTCTTCATCAGGTGATAAGGTCGACTGGATTAGGGCAGGATGCATTGCCGTAATTGGTTGTTATTTTCCACTGCCGTGATCGGCACGTTTCGATCCTTGATGTTAGTGAGTTTTTCCCTGGGTGGTCTTCTGTCATACAGCACTCTGGTTGTAGTGTTTTTTTTAGTAGTTTTTTTCTTTTTTATAATGGGCATCTACACTTCAGGATTTTGTATTCTATTGTTCCTGTTGATGTTGTTGGGGTAAAGTCTTAGGTGAATTGTCTCTTTGACCCTTCAGGTGTACCAGTGAGGATCACAATCAATCAACTTAACCTCACTCCAAAGCAGTTGGTGTCCAGTGTTGTTGGCGTGCTCTGAAACAGCAGAGGTCTGGGCACAGGCTGGTCGGATATGTTGGTCATGCTCCTAGACTAGTGCTACTTTACTCCTGACACTTTGGTTATGTTTCCCTCCCTCTCTCACCCAGTCTCACTCTTCCATTTCCTCCTGATATCTCTCAGTCTGGTGTCACACGTGGCTTGCGTTTGTGCTTGATTTTTGTAAAAAATTTTACCTGAAAAACATAGAATTTAGGGCTTCCTTGTAGATGTGTCTTTGCTGAATTCCAGTATTGTTGTTATTGTTGCTGTTTATTATCATTATTAGTAAGAATAGGTAGTAGTAGTACTATTTTCATTATTGTTATGATCATTTTTATTATGATTATTATTATTTAATTTTAATTAATGTCATTATTATCATTTATTGGTGCTCAACTGTCTCCCTAACTCTTGTTGTATGTCTTTCCTTCTGACCCTCTTCCATATATTGTTTCACCAATTATTTATTTTTTGTTTTCATTTTAGATCCCTCACATTTTGGGCTAGATTTGCAATTCTTTCACAACCCTAG